TTCTTGCAAAACTCAATGAACTCCCCTTCGCAAAATTCCAAGCCATTATCAGTTCTCAACCGCTTGATTTGTTTTCCTATTTGATTTTCAATCAAAACTTTCCACTGTTTGAAAGTTAGGAAAACATCATTCTTATTCTTAAAAAAATATACTAAAACCGCATATGCCATAACTTGGTGATGTCAGATTCAGCCAAAGAACATGATGAAACAGCTGCATGCCCAATAACAGTCGTCCCTTGTAAAGTATACAAGCTGTCAGATCGGATACCTTTCATAATAACGATAGCACCTTTGAAAATCTTCAGAACACCATTTTGACTCGTGTACCTGCAACCGAGTGCCTCAAGTGTCCCCAAAGAGATTAGATTTTTTTTCAAATCAGGGACATTCCTAACATTAGTAAGTATCCTCACAATGTCATCATGCATCTTGATACGAACAGTTCATTCCCTAAAATATTGCAAACGGCGTTGTTGCCCATTAAGACAGTTTATCTGTTGCATGAATCATAAGTAGCAAACAAATCCTTATTGCTACACATGTGATAAGAGCAGTATGTATCCAAAATCCACTCATCTGTAGATCACACCCTATCATGAGTGACAAAGAAAACGCTACATTCACTATCATCAGCAGCAACGCTAGCTTCAGCGGTGTTATCTTTCTTTTCTACCGATTTCCCATTTTGCTTATTTTTCAACTTAAAGCAATCAATTTTAATGTGCCCCATCTTATGACAATAGTTACACTTTATATTTCAATGTCTAGACTTCGATCTAGATTTACTATTGTCATAGTTTCTCTTATACGATCTTACTCTAACAACTAGGCTCTCAGCATTAACCCCAATATTTTCTCCAGCGATATCTCTATCTATCTACTCCTTAGATTTCAAAGCAGACTTGATTTCTTAATATGAAATAAATTCTTTCTCATAAATTATAGTATCACGAAAAATTTATAAAAGATTGGGGTAATGAGCACAAAAGTAGCAACGCCTTATCCTCATCATCTATCTTAGAATCAATATTTTCCAAATTCATAATAATCGAATCAAAATTATCAAGATGGGAGAGCAATGATGTACCTTCCACCATTCGATAAAGGCTTTGCTTTAGGTACAGACGATTCTCTTCATATATAAGACCTTAAGTTTATCCCCCATTGCCTTAGCTGAAGTCTCCGTTGCAACCTCCCGCAAAACCTCATCAGAGAGATTTAAAATAATACTCGAATGAGCCTTCTTATCCAACTCAAAAAATTTGAACTTCTCCATATCCTTGGACATTTTTTCAATACCCTGGATAGCCAAATCAACTTCACATTGAACCAAAATGGCCTACATCTTGAGCTTCCACGTCCCAAAGTTGACATTTCTGTCAAACTTCTCAACTATTGTCCTTGTGATTGTCATTGTGTGGTAACAAAAGATTCCCACAAATATAACAAGGGCCCTGATACCAATTTGTTAGGATTATAGCCCCAAGCAAGTATTTGCAAAACATTGACAATGACAAAAATAAGAACGTGAAATTTAAAAGACACAAAGATATATGTGGTTCGGTCAAGATGACCTACATCCACGGGCAAAGACGGGACAAACTTTCACTATCAAGAGAGGAATATAAAATATGCTCGAATAGATATTAAAAAACCCACAACTCTCAATCTCCCAAAATACTCTCAAGGCAAAACAAGTAACCCACAAATATATAAAAAAATGAGTACTTGTCTAATTTTGGTGTGTCTAAAACCCAACCCAAGGCTACCAATTTATAAGGGGAGACTTATGACAACTTTGTCACCACAAACAATGTGGGACAATAATTTTCTTCAATTTAAAATACCCTAATGTGGGACAAAGCTATATAACAAAATTTAAAAATAATATATATTTATATTTAAAAAAAATTAAAATTTGCTTCGGAAATTTTTAGGCTATTTCGGTTAGTCTCGGGATTTCCGAAGCTATTTTCAACCGTCTCATTAGTTTAATTAAAATTTAAAATGAGATCAAAGTGTATAATTTTTTTTAAAAAAAAAAAAAGTGAGGAATTTTTTAAGTTATCTAAATTAGCCTCGGAAATTCCGAAACTATCCAAAACAACCACAAAAAATCAGCTTTGGGTAGCAATCCGAGACAAACTCCGAAACTAATTCAAAATAGCTTCGGATTTACTTTAAATTTAACCTTTTTTTTCTTTTTTTTTTTTTTTTTTAGGCAATTTGGGTTTTTTTTGGTAGTTTCTCCGCATATTCCTTCACTAGATTTATGTGCGACATGCATGCTTTTCTTCATTTTATTCCTAGCAAATGGAAAAGTTTTACGACGGACTAATTCTCCCGAAAAATGAGTAATTAGCGATTTGTTCTCCGGGTCGGTCTTAAAATTCACTGTAATTTACAAGGGATATATATAAAATCCCTCGCAAATTTTGTTACAATATATTTTTTTTGTTCATTAGGACTATTACGCAAATTTGGGGAAAACAACCATATTGTTTTGAAAATTAAAATAATAAATAAAATTAATGTTCCGCTTATCTCTCCCAATGGAAGTGCTGGGGAAACGACACTCCCCACTCCGATCCAGCTGCCTAAGCCATGCAATCATCCAAGAACGGCAGGCTAGAATTTTATTTTTTATTTTTTCTCTCTCGGCCTGGAGCCATGCCAGTTGTTACATGGAATTGGATTCAGACAGAAGTGAGATCCTTTCAGCGTTGGTGGGGTTGAGAGGCTATGTATGTATGTCTGCCTTTAATTGTGCTGCCAGCCCACTCCTGTCTGTCTAATACATTTTGGGAAAGAATCCATCCATTCAACCAGTGCCATTGCAGAATTAGTGATCTGACTGATATCTAACTAATTACTGGTCTGGGATGAATTGAATCTGGTAGATGATCGATGAAGACAACCAAGACAACTTTACGTTATATATTTATTTACGTGCATGCTATACACATGCATCGACGATTGTAATCTTTTCCGATATATGGTTGGTTCATGACTAATTATAAGTGTAGTAATTGCTTCTAATAAAAGAATGCTTACTCGATTGAAATGCATCATGCAGGCAGACAGGTAAGCTTTGACATATATAATGGAAGATTGGATTTGGATTGGATTCTCTGAGAAAATTAAAAGTGCAATTCCATTTGATGATGCGCCCACACAAACACAGTGCATTAATTATACTATATAGAAGAAGTCAAACATATCTGCGTCTCACTTTTTTGAGAGGTCAAATGCCCTTTCCCAAAAAATGAATATGACATGACCTGACAACTCTTTGATTAATTTCTCAATTATATAATTCATTTATATAGAGAATATGTATATATGTACATACATGCAGCTATACTATACGTAGTGATTGACCTGAAATGTTTCAATGGGAATCACTAGTGATCAAGTAAAATGGATTGATTTCATTGCAATATAATTATAATTATAATTATAAAATAAAAATGGTCATGGAACATATTCCCGCTAGCTGAATAATTGAGTTGAATTGAATTGAAACAGAATCTTATTCTTCTATGATATATGGCCTGCCTGCCTGGTTACCTAGCTAGCTCTATAAATAGAATTGAGAAAGATCAGAGTGTCTTCATCTCCAATGCATCAGTTCATTATTTAATTAATTAATTATATATATATATGCTATTATGCATGCAATGCGAGAGAGAGGGATTGGATATAGATAGATAGATAGATATGGGTGGGTTTGCATGGAGACAAAGGGTTCATGTTTGATAGCCAAGGATGACTTGCCTGCAGCGCTGCACTACTGCCCTGCCCTGCCCTGCCCGTAATATCTATATATCTGTCTATCTATTATATGATCTATATTGGACAGACAGACACAGACACAGACACAGTAACAGTAGGCAGTCTCCTTGGCTACTCTAACTGCCCTTTCTTTCCCATGCTACCCCCTTTATCTTCTACATTAGTTATTTAATATTCTCTTTTTTACTTAAATATTTGACTCGTGTCTCAACTTCAAATTGATTTCTTCTTTATATATATATATTGTTGATCGAGCCACATAATTAATTAATAGGTTGATTAGAATTAACTATGTAACGTAGAGCTCCTTTTCTTGACCAAGTCGTTGTCGAGTCGACACCATGAATCCCGAGCTTTAACAAACCCACATTCTAGAAAGCTATATATTAAGTTACCTAATCCTTATTTCTATGCATTTTCAATTTTATTTTAAATGTAATCTTGTTGTCTTTTTTATCGTTATATTTATGTACTTATTTATTTCCTTTCAGGATATTTATTTATCCTTTATTTTTTTTTATTTTTTTTTCCGAAGACATATATATATATTCTTAGAAATAACAATATATCAGGATAGACACGAGAGATGGGTTCGACAAGGACCTAACCCATTTATTTAGGGTATAGCCTAATTATTAAGATATTGAGTTCGAGTCCCGATTGAATATAGTGTATCCTTATTAATTTTTAGTTTAATATTTGCATTTTTATTATAATATTTTTGAATAAAAATGCATAAATTTAATATATATTGGAGTTTAATTTTGAGTTAAATTTTAAGAATGGTAAAGATAATTTCTGAGTCTATAATTGGATCCATGGGGTCTTGTAAAATATTTTTCAAATCGGACCCGAATATAATCAGGCCTGAATATGGTAAAATCTAATTCGAATCTTAAATTCAACCAAAATATTTGGATCTAATCTCGGGTCGGGCTAAACCGACCCATTGCCATCCTATTTATTTCCCCTACTACCCTATACACATATTTTAATAATTAAGTCGGGTACGGTTGGGTCATCAACAATTTGAAGTGAAATAAAATACGTCTACGAGTTTATCCATATGGCCGACTGAGGAGACACGTGTGATGACACCGTAACCACGTGTCCTTATCTGCATGACCGTACTAACACCTGTAAATTTCAGGCAGCCCATGCCTCCCTAATCTATTTGTATAAATATCAATAAAGACCCACCCATTGGCCATAATAACAGTCAGTCGTACATCAATTATCATAACCACACATCGATCAGTTTCCATAAGCTGCATTGCACCTCATATATAAATATTTACATTAGATCGATATCCAGGCATGGCTCATCAGTACGGCGACCAATACGGCAGGCAGACGCAGAGGCACGTTGACGAGTACGGCAACCCCATCCCACAACCAGGTGCTGCTCAGTTCGAAGGACATACCGCCGGAACACACGGCGGCGCCGACCAGTTTGCTGGTGTTGGTCAGCACCCCACCGCCGGAGGACCATATGGAACTCACGCCGGAGGGATTGCACCGGGAACCACAGACACCGGCGTAGCTACCGGCGGAGGAGGCGGTCTCCATCGGCGATCTGGCAGCTCCAGCAGCTCGGTAATAAAATAATTAATTAATTATTTTTCAAATATGCTGGATCACGTGATGGAATATAATTAATTAGCATGTATGTATGTTTGTGTTGGATTGTAGTCGTCGGAGGATGACGGGCAAGGTGGTCGGAGGAAGAAGGGAATGAAGGAGAAGATAAAGGAGAAGCTAGGAGGAGGGGGGCAGAGCGGGCAGCCTCAGGGGCAGACTCACATGACCACAGGTACTACCGGTGCTGGTAGGGTAGGGACCGAGTATGGTGCACCTGCTACTGCTGGCCATGAGAAGAAAGGTATGATGGAGAAGATCAAGGAAAAGCTACCGGGAGGAGGCCACAACAATTAATTAATTAATTAATTATATATCGTCATTCGCAATATATATATATATATATCTATATGCACCTCTTATAGCTAGTTTGTAATAAGCCAGCCAGCTAGTCATGTGACACATAGCTAGCTAGCTTTGTTCTGGATTGGCACTGTCCCGTTTGTGTTGTTTAGCAGTATGCATGTCTATATATATTTACTTGTTCCTAATTATGCAGAGATTGGGTTTACTATTACTATTAATATAATGGTTTGTGTACTGTGTACATTGCATGCTAGCTGTTTACTCACTCTTTCTCAGCTTATGTGTAAACCCCCGCCCCAGCAAATAAACAAGTCAATCTGATGAATGAAATTCCGAAGATGGGTGAATTAAGAATTAATTGAGCGATATTCATTACAAATAGTTAATTAAGATGCCTGCTTGTTAATTATTAATTAATTTTGGGTTTATTCCAAGAGAATTAATCGTGTGTGTCTAAGTATATGTGTGTATATATATATATATGATGTATATATGCATTGTCTGGAGTGACGGTTAGAAATAGTATGGAAAAGCTGAAACTCACTGTGAATGTAAGGCTAATGAAAGACACTTGATTTAATTCGTCTTCACCATGGTTCAGCGTCGATCCGGCATCTCACTCGCGGCGGTCAAATATCGCCCTATTCTATTTTTTTATATAAAATTTATATTTTTAAAAAAAATAATAAATAAATAATTAAAATACATTAAATTATAAATATAATTAATTTGAAAATATACATTATTAAAAAAATATCTTATAATTAAGGGCATATATATATAAATATAAATGTTAAATTTTATGTTTTGCATATTGTTATTATACTAATAAATTTATTTTAGTAACAAAATAATGTAGTTCGTCAATATCAAGATTTTATCTTTATTATTTTTATTATATATAAATAAAAATAATTAGAAAAAAAATATACCAATAAAATTTTATATGTTCAAACTATATTTATACTAAATATTTGTACATACCTTTTAATACCATGTGGAATATCGTGGAGGTTTAAAATCATTTTCATCTGCCGATCGATTATAGTATGAATATTTTTGTTCTGGATTCATATTGTGTGGATAATGGGAGATGTTCGAACCATATTGATTTTCTCTAAATGAACCCCTTCTATATACATCAAAACCTCGATATTCTCTATTATCATTGCTTCTGCTTGATGAACCATAATTTTGTCTACGATCATCAATATTACCCGAACTAAATGTAATCCATCCGTAATATGTTCCAACTGGTTGGTTGGATCCAAATATAGAAAGATCGGCTGAATCCTGAAGATGTCTGGGTAAATTAGATGAACTGTATCCTGGGTAATAGGGATTATGATATGCATTTGGTTGGTCCCACTCCTGTCTCCTCAATCTATTACTCGAACTGTGAGAAGAATCTCCATAGGAATAACCTATATTCAAGTCTTGCATATGTTCGTGAACTCCAAAATATCTCCTAGTACCTGAAAAATTTGAAGCATCGGCTTCACTTGAAAATTTTGTTAAACTATTTAGAAAATCTCTTTGAGTTTCTATACCAGGACGATATCAATGATCAGTGTCTTGGGTACCATAATAATTTTCATTTCCTTGAACCCATCCCATATCACTTGAGTATCGGCTATCCCTGTAGCTCCCACTACCACCACCACCACCACCACCACCACCATCATCATCATTATTGTTATTATTTTTATCTTCACCATTAGTTGATCAAGATGAAGATTCCAATATGATTGCTTTTTTTTTTTCTTGACAGTTTTTTTGTTTTTTTGATTTTTTCTCTTTTGCCTTCTTTTTTCCATTAGCTATAAATTGAGATAAAAACATATCGCTGTCATGATCATTATGCTCACTTTGACCTCCATCTCCACTTTCTTCAATAGCTTCATCCAACCAATTCAAATCACTATCACGAATAAATGGAGATTCATTTTCTCTGACCAATTCATCTAAAATATCATTTTTATAAAAAAATATGATTCAAATCAATTGAGTCATAAAAATTGTCTGTGTCTATATTTGCATAAAAAAAATTATCCGAAGATGCATGTTGTAGTGGACATAGACCAGCTTATGCAGTTTTTCAATAGCTAATCTATTCCGAAGTTTAGTATGGATCAAAGCCCACGTACTCCAATTCCGCTCACAACCCAATGATGTGCAAGTTTGACTCAAAAATTTTAATGCAATTTTTCTTAAATTAGGGGCTTCATCACCGTACATATTCCACCAGTCAGCTATTAAAAATAAATAAATAATTATTAATAATGCAACATTTTATAACAAGTATGTTTAAAAATATAATTAAATGATGAATTTTATCATACATACCTGGTAAAGATGTAGATACAGTTCTAATAGCAAATGCACTTCCAAACTCTCCAATTTTGTTAACAAATATGTTTATCTATAGACAATATAATGGTAAAATTATTAGAAATTAATATATATATATATTATTTATAAATTTCACACAATTTACCTCATTCATAACCTTTACTTGTATATCCAAATCTGGCTCGAGTCTTTTGATAACTTCTTTTACTCATTTTTGAACCTCCGATGAATCAAATTCACAAGTGCCGGAGTATTGAAGACCATGATTTAAAAAATAAGCTGCATGAAATGTATATAAAATTAAAAAATAAAACAAACGATTAGCACAATATAAAAATAAAAAAGTAATAACAATAATTACCTGCTGCATGCAAATCTTGATGCAATTTATTATACAATATTTCATCGATGATATCCCAATATTGTTAAAAATCTTTCACCATAGTTTTTATTGCCATTTTTGCCCTATCCATTGCCTCATAAATGATAGGTAGTGTAGGTTTTTTCTCTTGATCAACTACTTTTAAAACCTTCACTAAGGGTTCCATGACCACACAAACTCGGCGTATCCGTTTCTAAAATCTTTCATTCAAAATCAAGTCTGATATATCTCCGGCTTCACATCTTCTCCTCGATGTATCATTGTACTCAACCCATTCTCTAGAAGTACACATTCTTTTCAAATCGGTTGCATATCTCAGAAAACTTTCCATTGCAACAAACTCGGTTGCAAATCTTGTTATGCCTGATCGCAACATATCTCTGTCATTCGTATATGTTTTCATCAAATTAACCACTTTATCATTATTGTATATAAATCCTGTAATTCTTCTGGCTTCTTTTATCGTATATTTCAATGACAATATATCTCCGATGTCTTCTAACATCAAATCTATTGCAACGCATGGAGACCAAATAATGTGCTTCTTTTTCTCATAATTTTTTATTGTCAACCCCTATTGATTCCACCACCTTATCCATTAGGGTATAGACAAAGTCCGCAGTCTTTGCCTTATTTGTACAATAAACCAAACCGTGATATATCATATCTCTATCACAGTACACCATAAAATTTATAATTGGATGTTTTGTGCGAGTACTCCAACCATCGCACATAATTGTACATCCGTATGTTTGTCATTTCTGCTTTAAAGAACCAACATACTGTACAACTTCTTGCATCTCCTTGTTTAAATATTCACCACCAATTTGCTTACCAGTAGGTCCTTTAACTCCAGGTCCAACAGATGCAATCGTGTCAATCATCGTTTGGTAGTAAGGACCACTATCGGCAACGTGAAATGGTATTGCATTAAAATGAAAAAATTTCAAAATTGCTCTACCCACTTTTTTTTGCATTATCTTTTGAAAACATATTTTTCAGAGACTTATTCTTTGATTGAAACATGTATGGATCAAGTTTTTTTTTATGCAAACCTTCTGTCTTTTTCATAGAGCTTTCGAAAAAATTTCTTTTACTTCCTTTTGTATTCGAGTTGTTTCCTCCTACAAAGATTAAAAAAAAAAACATATGATCATATATGGTTGTTATCTAAAAAAAATACTAATATTTAAATATATTTTATAAATTCAATAAATATACTGGCTTTAAAATTCAAACTTGGTTGATCTCCGGATACAGAATGTCTACGCTGCTGCTCCATAAATTCTTTATTTCTGCTTTCAGTCATTGCTCTTTTTAAGTGTTTTCTTTTAAGAGCATCTATCTCATCTTCATTTATTTCAGAAACTTCATCTTCTTCCTCGTCAGAATCATCTTCTAAGCGAATGGAATTGTGCAATACTTCTAACTTTTTATTATGTGTTGCTCGCATACTTTTTCCTTGGATCAAGTGTTTTTTCTAATGACTCTCTTATTTCTTTTGGAGCTCTCGTGCATGTTTCAACTTGACCTGTAATATGTGCTATATGTTGTTTCATCCTAGTAATTCCACTGTGAACAATTTTACCACAATAATTGCATTTTGCTTGTTTTCTATCGTTGTTGATAGGAGTAGCATGATCCCAACCAATATCTCTGTATCGTGCCATTTTACACAAACTCTGTAATTTAATAATACAATTGTTAAAATATTTATAAATAGTATTTCATTAATTAACTAGAAAAATTATATATATTGGTTTATTAATAAATCAAACTTATACAAAAATTTAATTAGATAACTAATTTGTTTATATAAAAAATCTAGTTAAAATATTATTTTTTTACAATAAATTTACAATTAATACAAATTTTGCCTAAAATAATATTAATTTTAAATAATAAAGTTATAAGTTATTCTAAAATATTGATTTTAATGAACTCAATTTATATAGATTAAATAAAAATTAAATACAATCCAAAATAATTAAACTGAATTTATCAATTAAGTAAAAAAATTATTCTAAATAATTAAATCTAAAATAATTAAACCTATCAATTAAATAAAAAAATTAATCAAAGTAATAATTTCAATCCAAAAATAAGTAAAATAATTAATTTTATACTATATTTATAAATATTTAAATTAATTAAAATAATATGATAATTAAACTTACCCTTCTTCCCTCTCACGTTCTTCTTCAGCACGCAGAACCGTTGTTTTCTTCTTTAGCGCACAGACGCAGCGGCGAGCGACAGCCTCTCTTCAAGAGCAGCGAAATTTCTTTGCCAATTCTTTCTCAACATCGACGATTCCAAAATCCACATTCCCAACACCGCGATACCCAAAACACCTCGTTCTCCAGGTAAATGTTTTCTTCTCCAATCTGGTCGAATTGAGATGAATTAGTACGAATTGTATGAATAAAAAGTAGAAAAAAGGATAAGAAAAAAATTGAAAATCAATTTTAGATAAGATATGAATGGATGGGAGAATTTTGTCAAAATATCGGATATTTTTGTCGAACGACCGTTCCGGTTCCGGATGGGCCGAGTCGGACTGGACTCGGCCGATCCGGAGAACCATGGTCTTCACCTAATCCATGCACCGCAAAAAAACTGTGCCTTGTGTTTGAAATTTAGGAAGGAACTTTTTTTTTTTTTTTCCTTCATATTTTTTAGTAACTCACAGTAATTAAATTCTTAATTTAAATACGAATGTATTCAGATGTTTAATAGTAAATATTAAGGCGGTGTGTCTAGATAATAAAAAATAAGGGAAGAATGAGGAAAGAAAGAGGTGTGTCTAGATAATAAAAAATATGGGAAGAATGAGGAAAGAAAGATTGGAAATGTGTGAATTTGAGTTACAGAAAATTATAATATTCTATAAAATATAATATACTATATTTGTAGAATTTAAATTGTATGTATCAATCGATACATTGTCTAATATATTAGTAATATAAAGTTATACAATTCTTCATATAATTAATATTTATTTCTTAATTAAATTTGATTTTGGAATTTCATCGATATACATATATAATAATCGAGATAAAATTTGACATTTATATCACTACCCGAAAAAAGAGGGAAATGGCACGGATAACAAAGTGCGGCATGGCTCGAAACATATAGTAACCGAAACCTGTGTCAACTTAATAATAAAACAAATTTGGCGCGGAACATCGCGCCTTATTATTTTTAATATAAAATATAATTAATATTTTATGATAAATCACAGTCTTAAGTACCTAATTTTTAATTATTTTTTTTAAAAAAAAAACAATGAGGCGCGGTTGTTTGCACCTTTCTTTTAAATTATTTTTTTTATTAAAAAGAGGCGCGAACCACCACGCCTCAACTATATTAAATTTAAAATAAAATGCACGAGTATAATTTATCTTTTTAAATAAAAAATAAAGGCGCAAAACACCGCGCTCAACTATATTAATTTTAGGAATAAATGCATAAGTTAAATTAATTTTTCAAATAAAAAATAGAGATAATTTTTCGCAAATTAATTTTTAAATAAAAAAATAGACTTAAGAAACCATGTCTAAACTATATTAATTTGATAAAATAAAAAATCGCACGCTATATTAATTTTAAAAATAATTGGATGATTAAATTAATTTTAAAAATAGAGGCGCGATTTTTCGTGCCTCTCTTTTAAATTATTTTTTAATTAAAAAGAGGCGTGTATCACCATACCTAAACTACATTTGTTTTAAAATAAAATGCATGAGTATAAATTATTATTTTTAAATAAAAAATAGAAGCGCGAACTACCACGCCTCAACTATTTAATTTAAAAATAAATGGATGAGTTAAATTAATTTTTCAAATAAAAAATAGAGACAATTTTTTGCAAATTATTTTATAAAATAAAAAATTACACCTCATATGAATTTTAAAAATAAAATAGATAATTAAATTAATTTTTAAAATAGAGACATGATTTTTCGCACTTATATTATAAATTATTTTTTAAAATAATAAAAAACCGCTAACCGCCCTTAATTATATTCATCTTAAAAATAAAACACAAACCAAAATTAATTTTTAAATAAAAAAGTAGAGGCGCACCAAATTTTCGCGCCTTTCCTATAAATTATTTTTTTTAAATAAAAAAAAGGCATCAAACCCTACCCACAACTCTCCTAGTCACTGTGTCCTCCCCCACTTTCTTCTTCTTCATTGTGTTTCTTCTTTTTCACTGTGTTTCTTCTTCTCGGTTATTTTCTCCTCTTCTTCGTTACTTTTTCCACCGAACAGGTAATCTTCTCTGCGTATCCATGCTCTACTCTGTCCCCTCTCTAGCTGGTGCGCAGAATTTTCCTCTCTGATGGTAAATTTGGATCATGAAGTTCATATATATTTTTGCAAATATGTTTTGATGGTAACTAGTAATGTAGAAATATTATTATTTTGGCATTTTTCAAAGCCCTAATGTGATATGCTAACATGGCAAATGTATTGTTGGTGTTGATGATAATATCCTTTATTATGCTGATTATTTACTGCCTTGTCATTGCAAATTTATATTGAATTTGAGATCTTAGCACTTTGATGTAACATCTGCACTTATCAAAGTTTTGGTTCAATCCTATTAATGTATGGGAATCAAGAAACATTTTATGGTAAAACAATCAGTGGTATGCTATTCATCTCTTTAGGTGATTTCTGTAAAAAGAAATATATAAAAAATAATATATCTAGTAAACAAATAAATTCGAAAGAGATTAATGAAATGGTCAAGTTTGTGAAATTTTAGTTAAATGTCAGCATTGCTTATCTTTCCAAAGTATTTTACATCTATATTTCTTTTTGGATAAACAACTATTACATTTTGTAGGGTCCGAACGGAAATCATTTTGAACCCAAACCATTTTGCCTCTCCCAGTTTGAGGAAGGAAGTGATCCGGGTGAATTGGGTGAGCAAGTTAGTGTTAACACACAAGATCCTAGTGGCGAAAGCATAGTCATGCCTCTGAATTCGAATGATGAAGCTGAATTGGGTAAGTAAGTGTTAACACACAAGACCTAAGCGGCGAAAGCATAGTCATAGAATTGGGTTCTAATGATGAAGCTGAATTTGGTGAGGAAGTAAGTGTTAACACACAAGACCTGAGTGGCGAAAGCATAGTCATAGAACTGGGTGAGGAAGGAAGTGTTGACACACGGGACCCGGGTGTCGAAAGCGTGATCATAGCTCTGAGTTTGGATGATGAAGTGATTGACAAAGAAGTTGAATTGGGTGAGGAAGGAAGTGTTAAAGCAGATGATCTTAGTGATGAGATCGCAGCCATTAAACATGAAGTTCAACGGAAGCTCTTTGGTGAGTAAAATGTTGTATTGTTCAATATATGAACTAATCTAATCAATCATGTTGTTATAAATGCCATTAACAACTACTATCTGGCCCTGATTTCTTTTGTTCCACACCACAGTGGAGAAGGACAAGGAATTGCTGAACGATACATACAATGAGGAGGGGAGAAGCCTGAGGGAGGTATTGCTGCTGCTGCTGAGCCTGAGGGTTTCAAGAACATTGCTTTCGAAAATGAAAAAGGTAATTAATTAATCAATGTTTGTCTTGTCGCAAATCACTCCCTGGGTGCTGAAAACAGGACAATGAAAGTTGGTTCACTCTCAGATGTTCTGTATCTTCTTCAGAATTTTTGTTCTGAGGAGCTAAGGAATCTTGCGGACCAATTTCTACTTCGTGCTGTTACCTGGAACTATGTGAGTTCAGCTCTGATTATATGCCTTATAATTTGATGTTTTGGTTGTCCAAAGCTATTTGGTGGTTATATGCTTTATAATTTGAAAATTGCTTATAATTGGTAAATATATTTATTGATGGCACTTATTTGTTTTTGTGGTCTCATTTTGTCTGCTAGCTTTTTCTCTCACTATCAGCTTTGCATGCCTTTCTAATATTCATTCGCCTTCCTAATGCACTCAGGACAACATTCAGATATCCAATCTCAAATGTCCTATCGTGTCTACATGAGGTGTGTACCCAATTTTCTTATTAATAATTTTTATACCCAGTTTTCTTATTAATAACTATAAAAATTTAATTGGCTACGAATTAAAAAAAAAAATATTATATATATAGATATATTTTATTTATTGGCGCCGCTGTCGGTGCCAATATATTTATTATTTATTTTTAATTTATTTTGGCGCCAATTTCGGCGCCAATTATTTTATTATTTATTTTATTTTATTGTTTGGCGCACCAAAAATAAAATATAATTTAATAATTATTAATTATATTTGGTGGCATTTTCGGTGCCTCCCATTTATTTTTTTAAAAAAATTAATTATAATTGGCGCCACTTTTGGCGCCTATCATTTATTTTTTAAAAAAATAATAATTATGATTAGCGTCACTTTCGGCGCCTATTATTTATTTTTTTAAAATAAATTATTTATGATTGGCACCACTTTTGGCGCCTATAGTGTTATTTAGGGTCCGAACTTCGGCACTGCGGACATTTGAAACCACCATTTGGCTGCGGATTCCAACCGTGACAATGACCGCGCCATGTAAGCATAAATGGCGCTGACTTGCTGCGGTTTTTTCCGCACCAAATAGCTTTTTTTGGGGTAGTTTATTGGGAATCAGAGTTTTGGCCTTTTATTTGCAGCCATAACCAATTCTCCGCAATTCTTTTTCCTTGCTAATTTTATCTTGCAAACGTTCAAACAATATATCCATTTAAAATATTTTCTCTTGTTCGGCTCTTCTTCTATGTGTAGATTTATCCTGTCTACGTATATTTTCTATCCACGTATATATTTTTTGTCCACGTATCTGACACAGTCGGTCAACCTTCCAGCGCCAGTCGAATTTTTCTTTATTTCATAAATCTCAATTTTTCATGGTTCCATATTAATTTTTTGAAAAATATAATTTTTTTTTCTTTGTCCATAAATTTTAACTTTTTTTTCATGGATTTCATCTTGTCCATGGATTTATTTTAGTTTTTTTTTTCATGGATATATAAAAATATTTTATTCCTTGTCCATGAATTTTCCTATTTTCATAGAGTTCAACTTATCTATGCACCATATTTTAAAAATATTTATTTTCTTGTTCATAGATTTTATATTTTCCATAAATTTCAACTTATCCATGTAAAAAATATTTCTTCATTGTCCATGAATTTTATGTTTTCCATGAATTTCAACTATTTTTTCATGGTAATATGGGCTTTCCTTCGGCCTTATATTTATTTTATTCCAAAATTATTATTCTTATTAATTTTGCACACTCGGGTGACTTTTATGGAGTTTGTCACCATTTGGAATGCCTATACGCCTCAACTATTTGATGCATCTAGCCGATTAATTTTAAGTAGTAACATAGACTCCCCCTCAGCCATATAGATGAATCTTTTGAAGTCATATGATAAATAAAAATTCATAACTCAAAACTCTGGATCCGCAACAACCTATCGTAGGGTATGATTTGACGATAAAAAAAAGAGTTATCGTAAGGCCACTGTTTGACCGTGGTTTCGATTTGATACATAGCAATCCATATCTTGGCTAAGGGTATGACTTGAAGGTATTCTCCAACCGTTGATACATGTTCTGGATTGCTATCGATACATCAACTCCTAGTTGTTGAAGTTGACCCCATTTTAGGCCGTGTATATCATCTTGAATCACTGGAATGTAAATTGACACAAATCCCAAGGCTTAATTTCAATAGAGGCTATAACGACAATCGGTTTTATGCCTTTTAGGTATAGAAGTATCAATTCATACATTTCGATGTTGTGTCCGAAAAATTTCGGATCTACTCCCACCACTTTAATCTTATTATCTCTGTCTCGAAATATTAAGTGTAGACAAATATTGAATGGAACGTAATGAGAAGAGTGGATCCAATTCCTAACTTGGTGGATGATGTTTCTAGTATTTCCCAATTCAGATGGTGCACCTGCATCTTTGTGTCCTCAAATGTGGCCTGGACAATGTATCCGACTGGGTGTATGATCATCGTATCGAGCTATACATTTGACCAAGAAATTGTCAACCAACACACAAACTTTTGTTTCTGTCTCAATTTTTGCATTACCTTTCTCACGTCTGTATGGAGACTATCCTTAAGGCATTGTGTCATCCCGAATGAGTGTTTCCCTTGTAAATTTGACTGTGTTGTTACGGTGGCGATATGAACTTCAGGGAAAAGTTCATTATCCATTTTCATACCAACGAGTTTGAGACGTCCATTTTTATGGATTTTGTATGATCATCCTGAAGTGAAGGCAATTTACAGAGCATTTCGAAATGAATTGTGTCATTTGCAATATATTCGTCCTTTGATTTCCTAAGGCAAAGCCAATCTCTAACCCTTAGGGATGCAGATTTGACGGTTCTTTAGTAGCTCATCAAAATTTACATCGGCCTGGGCGATATCGAACAAGCAATCCTCGTTTAGTACCTTGGGCATGACTTTACCCATTTGAGGCTTAAGATTGGAGCAAGTGTAAGGCTTGCCCAGTACCAGTTCTGCTATGGCCTCTTCAATAACATCCAGAAGTTCATACCCGTTTGTTGTATCCTCCATATTAATTACAGCAATCTGGTGTCTATCTTATTCGTCTATGGTTTTTTTCTCATGAAAAAGACGCTCTAGGCGTGCGACTTTGACCGTTAGTTGTGCCAAATCTTGCACTTCGTGAACTGTGAGGGGTTCTCGCATATGTTGCTGCATGTTCTTGATTGCAATATTGGCGAGTTCGCCTTCACTTATAATGACTGGATATCGAGCTTTAATTTGCTTGATTTTCTCGATAAAGGCAGCGGCTGATTCATTGAACACTTGTTTTGTCTCCATTAAATCCATGAGTGTATTTTCTGGTACAGGATTAAAATACCTATCATGAAACTCTCGTTCCATTTTAACCCAATTTTGTACGGAGTCAATATGGAGAGATGAGTACCACGTAAATGCAGTCCTTGTAAGAGTTAAAAGAAATAATTGCAACTTGTAAAATTCATTAAATGACAATTTTACCAATAAGTATCGTAAACCTGCCACATGTTCAACCGATAATTTGCCATCCTCTCTGAAAAACAGTAAGGATTATGAAATCCTAACTGGTCGCGACAATGGAATATTACATTCCACCCATTTCAGAAAAGGTTTCTGGTATGCAAGATCATGTGAGTCGTGGCCTTGGTCACCTAAGTGTTGACGTACAACATCTTGAATCATCCGTACCATATCATGATTAAAATCTTTTGTGGGTTGTAACATGGGTTGAGGATTCCATACTGGTCGAAGTTCTAATACGGTATTCGGCCTTGTAAACACTAATGGTATCTGGGTTTGGTGAAAGTTAGCGTTGTCCTAGGAAAGTTCCCGTATGGCATAGTAGTCTTTTGTTGACGTGCAGTACGCGCACATGACTCTCCAATACATGTACGTAGTTCGCCAATACGTGTACATGGCTCTCCAATATGTATACGTAGTTCGCAAGTACATGTACATGGCTTATCCGTACATATACATGGTTCGCCGATACGTGTACATGGTTCTCCGGTATGTGTATATGGCTCACCAGTACATGTACATAGTTCTCCATTGTATACATGTGCCGGAGCGTAATAGCTTTGGGTTTGTGCTATGCTTTGTGGCACATTGTATGTCTAGATGATATTGGCGCTTGTAAACGATAGTGCAGACATTTGCAAATTCTCCAATTTTGGCCATGATTTTCCAAATTCGACCAAAGTAAGCGGCCGCAAAAGATATCTTCTGACACCTCCTTCAATTTGAGAAGCCGATTGGATGTTTGCACTTGATATCCATTAGGCTGTAGCTAGAAAATTGTGAAAGAGTTACTGAAAAATTTCATCGGATAGTACAATTGTACTGTCGTGTGTGGCCAAATTTAATGCCTCTTGGCAATTATTTTGTGCCAAAAAGATTCCACTCGTGTTGGAGTGACTTCGTCCGGAATGGATACTAATGGAGGCGGTAGGCCTGATGATGTTGTGCGAACAACATTGGTATATTATGCCGATGTTATTTCTTCAATCGAGCTATTAAACGACATACAAGTCTTTCTGATCTTAATTTGATAAATTCAGAGTGATTTTTTGTGAGGAACAATTTATCATCTCACTGGGCATGCCAAAATCTTACCATGAGTTGAAATTTTTATAACTGGATAATAACCAAAGGCTTATTTCTAGAGGATTTAGAGTAATTAAATCATTAATTTGTACCAAACACAATGCACAGACATTTAATAGTAAAAAATAAGGGATAAAGGGAAAAAGAAAAGAGTGTAAAAAGAAATAAATTGCAAGCAATAAAAAAATAATAATAACTTTGATTAAGATGTGTGAATCTGAGTTACAATGAATACAACATACCATAGTTATTGAATATAAACAATGTTTACCAATTGACATACCGTTCTAACATATTAGTAATATGGGAGGACACATAACCCTTCATACGGGAAATAAAAAAAATTATAATAATTATTTTTTAATTAAGTCTAACTTTGGGATTTCACCGACATACATAGTGTGGATTATCTTGAAATTTTGATATTAAAAAAATTCAAGATATAATAATCAAAATAAAATTTGATATTTATATCAAGAATCGGAGTTTTGGCCGTTCATTCACAACCATGATCAATTTTGCGTAATTCCCTTTCCTTGCTAATTTGACCTTGCAAGACTGTATATCCATCTAAAATATTTCCTTGGTCCAGCCCTTCTTCTACAATTTATCCTATCAATGTATCTAAATATTGAGTTTTTCGCGCCTGGGGCAGGGCATTTAGTCACGATAGTTGTTACGAAAGTTTCTGGCATTACAAAAAAACTTAAGAGTGACCACTTGTCAGAGTACAGTTTCTGTTACGATTTTTTGTTACGTCATTGAACCCGTAATAAAAATATATTCTTTCTTATGGTCATGAAATTGGATGTAACAACAAACATCCAAAAATTACTTTTTATTACATCATTTCATCCTTTTGTTACATATTAAACCCGTAATAAAGATATCATTTCTTATGGTCACAGAACCGGTCGTAACAAC